ACTCCGTCATTAAGTGAGGAGAGGCTGTACTGTATACATGTATATCTTTTTTATTTTGTTAAAATTGTACTGAAGGTTCATTTTGAAAAATCTCACTTGGTTTTTTTTTTTTTTTTGGGGGGATCATTTAGCATACCATTATGTGTGGTGTACTAATTGACCTTTTTTTTTTTTATGCGATGGGGCCCATTACCTAGGCCCCTTAAGTAGTATCAGATTTTACTAATAAATTTGTTCTTGTTTTTCCTTATTTGCTAACCAAATTTATTTTAAGCAGTGTTGTTAGGGGGGGAAATTAAACGTGCGTTTGCAGGGGAATCTTATATTGCCTGTTTTAATCATTGCAGGGTAATTTGCTCTTTTTATTTCCCATCTTTTGGGATTTGCAGGATTATTTAACCCTTTGGGGTCGACGGGCCCTCTCCGAAACTCGTTTCGGGTCAGCCAAATTTCAAAAAAAAAAAAATTTTTTTTTCTTATAAAAAAAATATTTTTTTTTTTTTTTCAAAATATTATGGGCCCTAAACAAAAAAAATTTCCCGTAAATACTTCTGGATTGGGGGTGAAGTTTCCCAAAAATTAAAACAAATCTGGAAAACCTCGCCGACTCCCGTAAACTGGTATTTTTCTATTTACTTTTTTTATGTACTATTTTCAATTATTTTTAATTTTTCTTTTTCTGAGTAATTTTTTAGGGCTCTGAGGCCAACATACGTATTTTGAAAGTTATTTCTTTTTCAATATTCCCAAAATAAGGGGAAAAACACTGTTGTCATTATTTTGTTTAAAAAAAAATTTTACACAAACAAACATTGAATTTTTCTTTTACTTTTTCTATTTTTTATACACATATCAGTCCAGGGAATGTTTCTAGAATTTCCGCAGCGGGGAAAGTTTTGAAACATGGTGTCATCACGGGGGTGTTTTACATTCCTCAACTGAAACAGGTTCTGCGTTGTTGTGGGCGTTTTTTTGTATGTGAAAAGACGAAACACCTTTCTGGCCTTTTTCTTGAAAGCGTAGCAGGCATTTTCCCAGGAAGTATCCCTGCTTGCGGCATTTGTTGATTTTTTGGTGGCGGTCAATTGCAGGTGCTTTTCCCGGGGGTACTTGTACTATTTGTCTGATGACAGACAAACAGATTCCCGACGTGGTTTTTTTGGTCCTCTTTATACATATTTAAGCTTTTTGAGCATGGAAATGTCCAGAAGATGGAAAAACATTTGATGTACCACTTATAACTCTTGCGAACACAATCAGCAAACCAAAATCTGCATGTAAATTTGTCCACTGATGCTTTTGAGGTGTAATCAATCAAGCTGCGGTTTTAGAAGGGGTTCTTGCTCTTCTTGCTGCCTGCCCTGTTCCATTTCTTAGGGTGAACTGTGCAACAGTGTGAATTTTTGTCAGCCACCGAAATCCCATGATGTCTTTGGGCGCAAACGCCTGACCTCACCTCTACGAGTGCCGCTCAAACCGGGGCATATTTTCCGTTTGCCGCACTGTGCCACACACATTGTCAGTTCACTCGCAAAAAATCACGAGTGAGGGGCTTGTGTACCAGTTATCTGTATATTTTTTCCCCTTTTCCAAGGTAGGTTTTCTATCTTGTTTAACCACATACCTGAGATGCCCAAAAATTCCTGGATTTGAAATGTAAAATTTCCCAGTGTAACAAAAATACCATTACCAGACCACTGAAACAATCACAAAGCACAAAAAACTTTATCCCAAAAGTTTTTCCTCTTGCTTGGTATGCTGCTTGAAAAAAGAGTTTTCCCTTTGAACAGAATCAAAGATCGTCAATTACAAGCTTCCTGAAGGGATAAAAATGCGTACTAAATTTTCTTTTTCAATACACAAACACATTCCTAACTTATATAACCTGTCAGTTTTGTAGGCCTGGTTTTGTCTGAGAAAGAAGCATACGTAACATTAGCACAAATCGATTCACTGGCATTATATACTGAAACCCCGGGGGTTTAAAAAGGGGTTGTTTACCAGTATGATTTCACTTTTTGGGGGGGTTATCACGTGGCTAAGATTTTCGGCAAAAAAAAATAATCTCAGCCACAGTTGCCTCCTTCCACTGGTTAACGTGATTTTTTGGGGAAGTAGTGTTTGCCATGGGGTCTGTTTGTGTTGCTTTCCATGACAAAACTTTCCATCAGTGGTTCGTCAAAGAATAATCGAAACATTCCAGTTCAGGGGGCATTGTTCCAAGTGTACAAGTGGCCGTATTTCCCCTTTGGCGCATCAAACTGGTGGGTTTGGAACAAAATTGACAGCTTCCGTCATCCAGGTGCGGTTGGGGGGGGGGTACGGACAATGAAGGTGGGGTTTTGGTTGTGGAGGCTGGTGTGGTGGGTGGGTGGGGGTGTGGCTTTTTTTTTTAGATCACTGAAAGGGAGCGGCGTGGGTGGCAGCATGGCCCACTGCTGGTGGGTACGCCGGCACCATACCACCACGCCATTTTTTCCCCCCAATTTCAACAGTTTCATCGTCTTTTTCCCCTCTGTTTGTTGTACAGCCCGGGGTACCCGAGTGCATCCCTTCCCCTTGGAAAACATTGGACACTACCGACCAAATCCGTTATCTGCGTTCACTGGGGAATTTTGCACTTATATCAACTGGAATAGTTTGAAGAGCTTGTAGTTAATTCACTATCACATCATCCCCTGCTCTCATCTGAGTCGGGGGTTTGGGGGAAAAAAGAAGTTTCCTTTCGTTTTTTGGCAATGAACGTGAACAAAACGGCCGCACCAGCGGTGGAAGGTGAGGGTGTCTGGGTTTTCCTCACTTTACCGATATTTGGTCATTATTTTTGGTCAAAAACCTCCCAAAAACCCTTTAAAAATCATCTTCACTGGGACTTCCTCTGTTTGAACTTCATGGGGGAAAAAAATGTCCCCTTCGGGGAGTGAGGAGTTTTACCGCGAGGCATGGTGGACATTGTTTTCTAAGATGGTGTTCCCCAATGCCCCACTGGGTCCCAGATTTTTTTTTTTCCCCCCACCCCCACCACCAACCCTTCCTACATGTGGGTACCCGCCTTTTCCCGCGAGATTTGACGGGTTTCTGAAATTTTTGCGTACTTGTACGTCAAAAACCCCCACGCGTAAAATGTTAGTACGTCCGAAAAAACCCCCAAAGGGGGTTAAACATGACCCTATCCCTTCCATATAGGTGTTTCCTTTCATTTGTGTACTGCTTCCTTACTCCCTTTTCTGAGTGTGTTTCCACTTGGTGCCTGCAAGGTAGATATTATTTTTCTAATCTATAATACTGAATAGTGTTTCATCTCTAGTAATATTCAGTTTGCTAGTGTACCGAAAAATCTTACAAAAACATAAATTGTTTCACAGAAATGGGGTGCCTGGGGGGTTAAGGTTGTCTAGGGGCAAAGTTGTAAAAATTTCCCCAAATACATGTTAAAAAATGGTCATCGGTCTACCTTAAGAAAACAAAAGTGCCCAAAGCACAGTCAATCTTTGTGGTTTGGTTATTTTAGGGTTCAGGGAAAATTCCTCTTAGGAAAAAAAAGACCTTTTTACTTCTTACAAAATATCAAACATAATGAAAAAACCCACATTTCCCTTTAGCATGTACACCCAAAAAGAAAATACATAGGGGCCGGAGGGTGCGATTCAAAACAAAACAAAAAACCACGGAAAATATGGGGCTAGTGCCTAGCGGGTGTTAGGCCCTCCCCTACTCTCCTGCTGACACCATTTCATCCAGTTTCACCAGCAATCACTCATCCCACAGAGCTCTGACCACATCAGAGCTCAGGTGAGCCTACTGGTAAATACTAAAGTAGCCTATGGCTTCAGTCAGATAAACACAAGGAGTACAAAACTTAGCTTAAATACACTGCGTCTGGCCAGCGTGTTTGTCACCCATGCCGCTCTCCAGCGTGACTCTCCACGCTCACACATCGACACTATACCACCACACTTGGAAAATAAGTCACGACAGGACTTCCTTACATTTTACAGTTTAAGCTAATTTACAGTGCCCACAAATGTATAACATTATTTATAATATTATGGTTTACAATTATAACAGTTTATAATATTATGGTCTACAATTATAACAGTTTATAAAATTATGGCACACTTCTCCACTATACATGTTACAATGAAATGCAGAAATCAGCATAACATAGATTATAACAAATTATCGTTTTTTCTAAATCCTTATCCAGGCCAACACTGTTTCTGATCTTACAGCATGGTATTTTGTAGTATAAATCCTCCTTCATAATAGAAAAGGCATGTTATACTCAAGATTAGGAGCTAACACCTTTATTTTGATATTGTCTTCTCAAATGAGTAAATGGCTTAGAGATATAACATTTGAAGTACGTATTAATAAAATATTAGGTTTGAAATGGTTTTTAGGTGAAAAACAACTCAGAAACCATTATACAATGTCATTTTTTCTCAAATTTGAAATAATTATAGTGCTCATTTGTTCACCATGTAATTAACCATAATACAGTTTAACAGTTATCAAGGGTAACCAAATGTAAATTAAGAAAAATTTATAATAAAAAATAAACCATTTTTTGTGCAGAGTATGATTAAGCAGTGTGAATGATGAACTGTAAATATTTGTTCACCATTTGGAATTGTGATGTCCTTTTGAAGGATGGCCACATTGTTCTTATATGTGAGATGAAATACAAACATTTGCCTTTTAGCCTTTATTTCACTGAACGTTGCCTGGTTATAGCATTTCAATTTATGTACATTTGCCAAATATCTTAAAAATCACCAACCCTTTGTTAACATGGCAATGTCTCTCTTCCCTCGTCCTTTCTCAATTCCTTTCATTGTCTCTGCCTCTGCCTCTGCCTTGGCATTTTCGTGGGGCTGCATTTCTGATGAATGTTGTTTTTGTGTAAATGTTTTATTTTTTCATTACAGTTATATAGTGTTATACTGCACCTGGCTTGTAATGCCAATATTAAACTTCCTGTCATTTTTTCTCTACAGAGACTGACAACCAGTGGTAAGCGACTATACAAGGAACAGTGATGTGGTGACTTAAGAATTTTACAAGGTATTATAGAATCAGATAGGGAAGTAAATAAAGTAGAATTAATATATTGGTAAAAATATATTTATTCAAAGCATATTATTGTCCTTGAATGTACAGGCAGTTTCTTTCTTTAGAGTGTTATTGGAGGAATTGTAAAGGGGCATCAGCAATGACAGTATGAGCAATAGGCCACTTAATGTAAACATGGCACTGTTCTCTCTTGCTGTGTACAGTATATTATATAAGATTGAAGCTTGGGAGCCAGGAAGTGCTCACACTGAAAGTGACTAATGCCTCTCTAATCCTCTGAATACATGGATTGCTTGTTAATACTGTTCTAAGATTCCTACTTAATCTGCCCTCTTTTATTGTTGACTAGTGAGAGTTGCAGTAGTAGTGATTGTGAGCTGCACATCATCACTTGCAGTGTATCATATCCAAAGGATATTTCTCAGCATGTGTACATGTTTTAGGTTCACAATGACTGAAACTGCAAAATATAAAGTGCTTGATAAAAAAATTATGATCAGCCACTCGTACTCTTATCTCGTTATATATTTCCTGTTTTAGAAATTTTTAGAAGGGTTTGAATGGCTGTGTATTGGTAAATAGATTTTTTACTTAATATGCAGTTAAACTTGCTTTTTGTTTTATTGCCACATTAACACTCCTTTCAAAAATTAAGATCCTTCTTAGCTTCTCATATGATTTTTTCTCCTTTTAACCAACTGTCCCATCAAACCTTTAGTTTACATTTGTATAGTATGTAGCTTATCATGTCACTAAGACATTCTCATTCATTCTTGGTATATTTCTTTTATTCCCATATAGCTCAAATATAGCATTTCCATAACTGGTGTTTGCTGTTAATGTCTTATGTTACACCTTAATCACAAAACTAAGTAAGTGCTGTTCGAGTCATGAAATGCTGTCTTATTTTTTCCTTCGACAAAGTAGTTTTTGCTCTCTAGTTATTATATCCCATATTTTTCATTATCACATCGGTCATTTCCCACCAAGATAGGGTGACCAAACAATGGAAATCTTCACTATCATTTATTCAATAGCGGCCTTGCCAGAAGTGTGTAGACATCAAGGCTCAGTGACCCTCTGAACTGTATCATTCCCCACCCCTCCTTCAGAGTGCAGACACTGTGCTTCCCACCTCTAGGACTTAAGTCTAGCTAACCAGTTTCCCTGAATCCCTTCATGTTTACTACTCACCAATGAACAGCATATCAAGTTAATAGAACCACTTTTTTTTTACTTGTTCCGATCTAACACACTCACACCTGTTGGATGCTCAAGTCCTTACAATTTAAAACCTTCACACCATCTCTCCAGTACTTCCTGGGAAGACCCCTCCCTACTTTCGTTTACCCTCAGATTTATAGTCTCTCGGTCATCCTATTCTATTCACACTATATATACCTAAATAATCTTGTCAACCCCTGCATTTTTAATTTCTTTTTACACACACTCCCAACTCGTCTGCCATCCTTCACAACCTCTCTTTAGAATTTCACAAAAGAACTGTGTCATCAGCTAACACCAACTGTAACTACTCCCACTTTGTATCCAATTAATTATTTTTAAATCTCACACCTCTCCCCAACACCCTAGCATTAATATTTTTTGCAGTCATTTATATAAATATGTTAAATAACCATAGTGACATCACACATCCTTGTGTAAGGCCTTCTTTTACTTGAAAATAGTCACCTTCTCTTATACAGACCTTAACCTGATCATCACTTTTCTTATAAAAACTCTTTACTGCTTTTAGTAACCTACTACCTGTAACATACATTTGCAACATCTGACACATTATTTTCATCTCTTCCCTATCATATGCCTTTATTTGATCCATAAATGTAACTTCCCACCATTCTCTTAAGTATTGTTCACTTGTATGCTTTAGTGAAGACACATGGTCTACACACAGCTTATCCTTCCTAAATCTTACTTTGTCTTTATCCCAACTCTTTCAATAATAATTCTCTAATGTATACTTTACCCAGTTTACTGAAGAGGCTTATTTCCCTGTAATTCTTACACACACTCTTGTCCCATTTTCCTTATAGAAGGGAATTATGCATGCTCTCTGCCAGTCTTTAGGCACCTTCCTTTCTTTAATGTATGTATGTATGTATGTATATTCTTTCTTTCAACAAACCGGCTGTATCCCACCGAGGCAGGGTGGCCCAAAAAGATAAACGAAAGTTCCTCTTTTTAAATTTAGTAATTTATACAAGAGAAGGGGTTACTAGCCCCTTGCCCCCAGCATTTTAGTCGCCTCTTACAACACGCATGGCTTATGGAGGAAGAATTCTGTTCCACTTCCCCATGGAGGTAAGAGGAAATAAACAAGAACAAGAACTAGAAAGAAAATAGAAGAAAACCTAGAGGGATGTGTATATATAAGCTTGTACATGTATGTGTAGTATGACCTAAGTGTAAGAAGTAGCAAGACATACCTGAAATCTTGCATGTTTATGAGACAGAAAAAAGACACCAGCAATCCTACCATCGTGTTAAACAAATACAGGCTTTCGTTTTACACTCACTTGGCAGGACGGTAGTACCTCCCTGGGTGGTTGCTGTCTACCAACCCACCGAGGCAGGGTGACCCAAAAAGAAAGAAAATCCCCAAAAAGAAAATACTTTCAACATCATTCAACACTTTCACTTCACTCATACATAATCACTGTTTTTGCAGAGGTGCCCAGATACAACAGTTTAGAAGCATAGATATAACATATCTCTCCAAACTGCCAATATTCCAAATACACAGATACACAGACCCCTGCCAAAACTTTTCCCCTTGGCTCTTAACCTTGTCTTTTTTAAAAATATCCTTCTACTTTTTTGCCTTTCATTTTTTCGTATACTAAATTATTCCCCCCTTTTTACGTATGCCAAAATCTTTCCTCTTCCCCTGCATCCACCTGCATGCTAAACTTCTGTTGTGCATTCAGCACTGCATTCTTGAATGGTCTTTACATCTTGCCCTTTCTCTTATCTGTGCCTCTCACCCCATCATTTTGCATCCCCCTAGGGTATAAGCCGGGCCCACCTTTGGTGCTTGTTTGTTTTTCTTAAAATGCAAAATTGAAGAAGTCACTAAACATCTGTAAATTATAAAGGGGGCGGGTTTGTTAGCGATTTTTTTCCCAAAATTTGCCATTCATTTTTAAACCCCTCAAGGGGGTCCCTTGATCCCCGGTGGGGGGCTCTTGATCCAGGGAACTAATTTTATCTTCCCCTTCCTTGGATAAAACCCCAAATCCTCCCTTCCTCAGGCATTATGTGACCCTCTATGCATTTGGCACCCCCTCCATAATATAAATAAAAAAAAAATTAAAGAATAAATGATGTTTGTGGGGGGGGGGAACATTTTTTCATAGTTTGAAAATGACAACCCAAAAAACTGTAAAAAAATAGAGGCCCCACAGTTCCCTTTAAGGGACAGCTTTTACCCCAGGGTTTTCTTTGTATTGACATAATGAGACTCACAAATGAAAGGGAAAATGTTTTTCCCTTGAGTACAGTACGAAGTTGTTAGTGGCATCATTGGGGGGGACTGCCAAAATTTTCCCCAAATAAATGAATTTCCAGGGCTATTAAAATACAAAATGTCGTGGGGACAAAATTTGTTTTTCGTTATAGAAATTTTAGAAAATAAAAAAATCGAACAGGGTGTAAAAACAAACTTAACCACACAGTGGCAAAAGTTAAAAGTGAGAACTTTAAAAGGGGATAATGTCAAAAATCTCATTTTTAAGGGTCACAATGGCAAAATTATTGCAATTGCAAAAGGGGAAAAGATAGATGGATAAACCCAAAACTTTTAAAAAGAGGATGCCCAAACAGTGTTTATCTCTGTTTAGTTTTCTTTTTCTCTAACCAGATTTTTTGCTGCTCTTACAGCCCCCTTTTTAATGCAGGGGAGAATTTCAGACTGGAAAATGAAAAGAATCTTCCTCTCCCAATTAAATTTAGTTTTCATTTAAATTATTGGGAATATTTTAATCCCCCATGTGCACACCCTTTGGAAAAGTGAGGAAGAAAGCGTATCATAATTTTTATCTTTAAAAATTCTAGGGGGTGGTCTCAAATCAGCACACATACACACACACCCCATGAAAAGAGGCTTGGCACTGTGTGCAAAATAAACCAAATAAAAGTAGGGGCCATGATTGCATTAAGGCAACTCTTTAAATTTAAAAAAATGAAGACTTTTTTTTTAAACCCCCCCTTTATATATAAGGGGAAATTTCTACAAGAGCTCTGGCTGCCTTCAAGAGGGAACTGGGAAATTTTTCCCCATTTTAGTCATTCTTGATCATCCGGCTGTGGGGCATTCACTGATTTTGGGGCACTAGTACCACCACTTGTTATTTGGCCACCCTGGGGGGGGCTCTTGGGGGTGGGCCATGGGGGGGTTAAACCCCCAAAATCAACTTTTCCCAAATATAATTTTTTCTGGGGACCAACCCAATTTTACCCCCTAACTTTGCATATCTTATTTTTTTTTGCATCTAAAGTTATTACTATCTTTTGCATATATTTTTTTATTGTAAAAAAGTCTCCTTTCGTACATCTTAAAATGTACATTTACTAATAGAAACCTTAGGCAGAATTTCTACAAGTCCTTCAGTATATTCCTCATTACAATACTTGATTATATCTGTCACTCCTTTTATGTGTACTGTCAACAAATTAAATTTTTGGCACTATTAATGCCTATATTAGTTGTTACATTTCTTTTCTTTTTTTTTTTTTAACATTAGTGAAATAGAGTCTTGCACTTCTTGCATTATTTTGTGATGCTTGGGTAAATTAATCTTTCTTAGATATTTTTGATAAAGTGTCATTAACATTGATCAGTAAAAATTGAGAAGCCACTTGAGAAGAAAATTGAAATGCAGTGAAAGAGAGATGTGTGCTTATTGATTTTGGATCTACTGAAGAGGGTCTCTGAGACTGAAATATATGTTACATATCTGTTACCTGTGTTGTGTATGAATTTTCTACCCAAGTGGTTTCTCACTTTCCTCAGATATATCATGCATTTACAAATCTTGATGCAGTTAATTTCTTTGTTCTCTACAGTGTGACTGTTATTTGTGTGGCTGTATAAGTTTTATCAATATTAAAATCTGTATTTTGTATTGTATTTGCAATTTAATTCAATACATACAAGTTTTCCAAGAGATAAAATTTGTATTTTGATGAAATATACTGCAGTGCAGAAATGAGTTTGAATTAACTGTTCATAATTGTTTATCAAGCACAAATAAAATCTTTTAGACCAAGGTTTGTTGTTAATAAATAATTTATGGGCTATTTTTATAAAATTGTAAGAGTGACAAGCTGGCTTGTTAAGTATTTCTTCTTTTATTTTTGAGGATCAGCCACTAGTCTAGATCTTTGATGCATGACAGCGAGTATAGAATGTATCACAGATTACGTAGAAGATATGCGGTTGTGTAGTAAGGTGGGGGTAGAACCTTATGCTATTTCATAGTGATACTTAATTTTTTGCTTGATATCAACACCAAGGTCAAATGTCATTCATTTTTGGTATGGAGTGTTCCAATTTTACTGAGGGGGGGAGGGGAGGGGGGAAATAAATTATTTAATTATGAAATAATTTTTTTTTTCTCCATTCTTACTACCGTTACAGGTAGAACCCCGGGTAATTATTCATGACAATCCATAAAAACCCGAATAAACTTACCCTCAGGACAAATTCTAAATTTTTATTTGGCTTAGTAAAGGATGAAAGCTAGTTTTGTATGTACTGTTGTTGCTGTATAATATATTCTACATTATTATGAGTGTCATGAGCAACGGGGGTTCTAAAAGTCAGCTTCAAATTTGCACATTTACCTGAGGTTTACATTTTGTTCCCTCTACTTTAATATATAAATTTAAGTCATGAATTTTAAACCAATAATTTATATATCAGTTTTTCCCAAAAGTGCTAAAGATATAGAAAGTTTTGAGTTGGCAAAAAAGAAATGATGTAATAATAATATGTATTTTTCCCCTTATGAACGGTGTTCCACCTAATTACATTGCAATGCACCTACAATCATAATTAGGAAACCCCAGAGCTTTTAAAAATAGTACTCCATTAATTAACTTAACCCCCCCTTTATTTTAGTTCCTTATAAATAGAAAATTTTGGGCCTTATGCCGGGGAAAACACATTTAGTTATGTTTTAAGAAATTTTAAAATTTTTCAAATTTTTTTGGAAATCTTTAACCACAAATAAGTTTTTCTTTTCCCAAAAAGGTTTCCACTTGATGTTTTATTATGACTAATTTTTCCTTTTAAAAATTGAAAACTTCTTTATTTTTTCTCTTTTAGCTCCCCCCTTTTCAAAATCTTCTTTATCTCACTCTTATTTGGGTTCGGGAAACCCTTTTTTTGTTTTTGCGGGTTTTCTTTATGTTTTTTTCTTTCGCCTTTGTTTTTTTTCTTTTTTTTTTTTTTTTTTTCTTTTTTTTTTTTATATTTCTTTTTTTTTTTTTTTTTTTTTTTTTTCTTTTTTCTTATTTTTTTTTTTTTTTTTTTTTCCTTTTTTTTTTTTTTTTTTTTTTTCTTTTTCCCTTTTTTTTTTTTTTTTTTTTTTTTTTTTTTTTTTCTTTTTTTTTTCTTTTTTTTTTTTTTTCCTCTTTCTTTGCTCTCTTTTTCTTTCTCTCTCTCTCTCTCTCTCTCTCCTTTTCCTCCTCCTCTCTCTCTCTCCTCTCTCTTCTCTCTCTCTCTCTTTCTCTCTCTTCTTTCCTCTCTTTCTTTTTTTTCCTTTTTTCTCTTTCCTTTTCCTTTTTCTTTTTTTCCCCTCTTTCCCCCCCCCCCCCCCCCCCCCCCTTTCCCCTTTTTTTTTTTTTTTTCCCCCCCCCCCCCCTTTTCCCCCCCCCCCCCATTTTTTTTTTTTTTTTCTTTCTTTCTCTCTTTTTTTTCCTTTCCTCTTTCTTTCTTTTTTCTTTTTCTTTTTTTCTCTTTCTTTCTTTCCCCTCTTTCTTTCTTTCTCTCTCTTTCTCCTCTCCTTCTCTCTCTCTCTCTCTCTCCCTCTCCCCTCTCTTTTTCTCTCTCTCTCTTCTCCCCTTTTCCCTCTCTCTCTCTTTCTCTCTCTCTCTCTTTCTTTTTTTTTCACAGGGTTTGACAAGGTTGGGTTTAAGGGATCCCTAGCTTTATTACCAAGCTGTTAACAGGAAAGGGTTTCCTAATTTATTGCAAGCTAAGACTATTCCCTAAAACAGCTTTTTTGGAAGCATTTTTTAAAATTGTTATGAAATAAAGTATTTTTTTTGTTTGAGACATAAAAGTGGGGAACGGGATGAATTTGGGGAGCCTTTTGGGGCCAGCATTTTCATTTGATCAACTGACTTTATCTCTTGACATCATAATGCTTACATGTGTTCCAACCGGTCATCCTAGGGGTAAGTGATCTCAAGAAGTGATGTTCTGGAGAAGGGGACATACAGAGTAAGTTTGCTTTTGCCCATCTTGTGGCATAAAACTGTTTCACACGTCCTTTAAGTGGGTCCAAGTGTGGTACTTTGACAATATTGGGAGTGTACAAACAGAAGGCCACCCACATCCCCCCAGTGTTGAAGGCTCTGCTGAAATGACAGATCTGCCCCAAATTGGGCCAACGAGAGATAAAAATCTTGCTCGTTCTTACTCGTCAAGCGTCGCAGATGGAGGGGGGGGGGGGGAGGGAAACCAAAAAATGGGGCATACTAAGTGTGAGCTACTGTGCCTCGTACAGAATCTTGCAATCCCTACTTCAAGA